GAGAGAGAGAGAGAGAGAGAGAGAGAGAGAGAGAGAGATGACTTGTGATTTAGAAAATGTCATTTGATAAATAAAGTTTATGTTCTCGTCAATGTCAATATCAGGAGATTTCTAAATAGTCTATATAGGAATTACACAGATATTAGTACCTAATAAATTTTAAAATAGGCACTTAATTTTCTAATTATTTTAAATACATTTTTATTAAGTAAAATATTATTCCATTTACTTCAACTTCTATTACTGGAAGGTAATCTTCCTTTATTCTTTGGGAATAAAACTTTTTCCCATTCATACCATTAAATGTCCTCAATTCATTAATGAAAAGACAGTTACAAAGTTACTCAGAAGTCACTACTATTTAAAAACTATTTCCATTGCTAAGAGATTACCCAAGCTCTTTTACTGTGTTATAATTTTATCACATCAACTGCTGGTTACAATAAAATCTTAATTAATTGGTCCCTGAAAATTTTATTACTTGGGTTTTTCTTGGCCATTGTAGAATTAAATCTGTAATAAGTAAGCATTGATTCAAATTAAGAAAGGTGAGAGACATTTGGAGATAAGGAGGCTGAGGAGTGTCATTGGTCAGAAGTCTTGATACAACACTAGGAAAAAGAAAGGGAATTAAGAACTTGTCAAATCTATCAATAAAAAGTCCTCTTTGTTGAAAGACAGTATGATCAGGATATGGTGGTCACACACTGGCCCACTTCTGTCATACGCTTTATTTTCAAATTTTTGATAAACTTATTAAAAAGTAATTTTATTCCCCACCTCACTTTGAATCTGTGACTTTATGCTACCATAATAAAAATAAACCAGAAGAAAATAATAAACCAGAAGAAAAAAACACTGGTGTGTAAGATATTCTTGCATTAGATTTATAAGCGGATGTACTTGCAGTGTTTCTATATCTATGGCAGTCATCGCTTCACAGATGTGCATTTAATAGCTAGTATTTTAAACCCAACCCTTCAGCACCAAAAGGGTCTTCCAGCTTCATTGGCCAAGCTCTTCATCTTGCCAGTGAGGACACTAAAGACACATAGGTAACACAGTGCTTTTTACAAAATACATACTCCATAAATATTTATTAAATGACTGAACCACCATAGACAGCAACAGACAGAGACAGAACAAAACTCCAGGTCTTTTGATACTGCATGACCTCTGAAATGACTTGGTTGTTTTTAAACATCAGGTAAGACAACAAAAAGGTTTAACCACAGATTAACATCAATCATGGTCTCTGGCCTGAACACATTTTTGCCACACAAGTAAATATAGTGAGTAAAATATAGTGACAATTTTTAAGAATAAAAGAGGAGATGTTTGTGGCACTCAGAAAAGAATAACAAGGGTCTCTACTTGACTCCCATGCCTGGTGGGTACTGTTTAGTGAGCTTTGCTCCTGCATAAGCTCCATGACTGAGCCCAAACCCTGATCTGTGTGAAAAAGAGGCTGGGCATGGCTGTGGCTGGAGAATGCTACTCAACATGTGATTATGATTAAGCTGGTCATTTAAAGAGATCTCCAGTATTTCATCAGTTTTCGAGCCCCGACACCTATTAATAATGTCACAGGGAGTAGAGGGATAACAAGAGAACTAAAAATTAATGGTATCAGGAAGGAGTTTGGGATTCAATTTAGAAGAATAAATGAAAGAACTTTGCAAAAGAAGTACAGAAGAGGAATTACATGTGGGTTTCCAAAAACTGGGTTTCTGATTCCCTGTTTTGGGAGGCAGTGAAATAAAAACAACTATCTTTGCAATTCAGTGGCTGGATCAAATGGTAACCCTCTGTCTATGCTCTTGCATTGTTCTATCATATTTGGTAAAGTTCTCATCTTTGAATGGTGCTTGCCAGAATATGAAATTTTAAAAAATTGTAAAAATCCTGTGTAAACTGAATTATAAAACTCTATTAAGTAACCCTTCCCAGAGTGGGCACAGGTACCTGCAGTTGTACACATACACACTCAACACACACTTCCCACTCAATACACACCATGACTTGTGGAGGAAAAACAAAGTCAAGAAGAGTCTCAGAAATTTCTAAGACAAACATCAAGGTTGATTGGCTTATTTAGCACTTGCTGAGTTGCTCAGGAATCTAAGGCAATAAGCCTCCTTCAAAACATAAAATTGCTGTTCCTCTTTAGTCATTAGATGAGTAGAGATAAATGACATGCTATTGCTGTTTTGCCAACCTATTTTCAAAGCCTATTACAAAAATAAATCAGTGTGTTCTCTAACAGTTCTAAAAACAGTTGGATAATTTTGTTTGTGTTTGATTTTAAGAAGGAGAAATAGATGTCCGTATTTACTAAAATCTTGCTTTTAGTTACATTCAGAAACAAATACAGTCCAGTTCTCCTTGGTGGATATCTTCCATCTGTTTGCTCATTCTCTTTTTTACTATAGAAAAAAATCTTTTGAAACAAAATGCATTGGCAGTGCAAAAAATAAAAAAATTAAAAAGTCCATAAAAATAAACGAACGATCAGATTAAGCGTTCCCATGAGTTCTTTGCCAGTTATCTGCAAGCACAAGACTCAACTGTCATGTTAGGATATACTTTAAGCACGACATTCTTATTTTCATCAAAGAATAAGATGCTGAGCGAGGACATCTTTTCTGGTACACAGCAAGGCTCAGGAATCCCAGGGACGACCCCCACGGCTCTCACTATACTCTGGATGGTAGCATGATTTGATGGTTTCAAAGACTAGAAAAAGAAATGGAAGAATACGTGTTAGGTGGAATTGCTTTTCTGCTCCTCGGTCCTCATCATGTAAAATGTTGGCCTAATGTGTTTGTTTCAACAAGTTAAGAAAGCCCCTGCATCATTACATGCTCAGCCTGTCTCCTATCTCACCATTTCAGGAGTGGTTATTATTTATTAAGTGCCTATTACATACCAGGCATGTTATATGTAGTGTCTTTAATCCTTACAACAAAATGAACGTTGCTAACATTTTACGAAGACTCAAAAATCTTAAGTGGCATGTCTATGGTCAACGAGTTAGTAAATATAGAGTGAGGATTTAAACTCAGTTCTCTCAGTTAGAATCATTTAACCACAAACAATTTAGTCCCCAAACATGGATTCATACATTCTGGGATAGTTTCAATAACAGGGTTGCAACAAAAAGATTTGCTCTTGACCCCATATTAATAAAATGAACCCTAACAAATATCTTATTTAACAGAAATACGTTATTGTCACTGCTATCGTGATATTTATAGTGAGTATTCCACTATGTAATTATTCAATTCTCTTTAGAAGCCCAAAAGGGGGGTAAGAAGACCACACCATTGGCCACTGGGGGTCACTGTTGCTCCGTGGGTTTAACATTAAACTTGGCGCTGTGTTCTAAGAGTGGGCTCTGTCTTCTGGGAATATCTGTGGGACCTAAGTTTACCCTATGGATGGCAAAAGTTTCACCAAAGAAGCCTAGGTAATATTCTCTTCCCTGAGAAAATGCCAAATGGGGCCATTAAGAACCATGTGAAACATGTGGTTTTACTTAGCTGTGTGCATCTCTTCTCCACCCAACAGCACCGAGGAAAAAGTCGCTCTTGCAAGCCCAGAATGGTAGGTATCGCCAGAGTGGTAAGAAGTTCCTAAGAGATGTCACAATTTTCAACACCGGTTTTCCCCAATGCCTTTTTTGCAGATAAAAGTAGTTTTGTTTTAAACATATTAAAAAACAGAAATTTAGTAGCTTGCCAGTCAGGAGTAGGATTTAGACCAAAACGCTGACTTTTTACTTTCAGGACTTTGAGCTGTGTTTCTCATGGCTCAGAGGCACCCCTACCCCAATGACTCGATATTTGAATTTCAAACTCTTAAAACACCAAGCATGGGAAATGAACAAGTTAAAAGGTTAAGGGTACATATAAACCCAGGGAGAAGCAGATATTATAGAAAGCTGGCATATTGCTTTTTTTTTTTTTTTTAAAGGATTCTTTTTGTCAGAGGAAAGGCGAAACTTATTTATCTCATATAATCTTTTAATTTAAACGAAAAAAATTACCCATGCATTATTAGATTTCAACTTTATTGTGAATAGGGTAACTAATAAAAAAAAAGTCTTAATGATAAGCAACTGTTAGTCTCTTCTTTCTAGAGACGTTAAGAATATGTTAAAAAGAATGGTTAGCTTTGAATCCATTAATTTTTGTTAGGTGCAAAGCAAGGTATTCTTCCCTTAAGGAAAGGAAGTCCACACTGTTCCATTTTTGCATGTTGCATGCTCTGCCTCATCAATAGTACATGAGTAACTTACACAAACTGTGATCAGTATTGCACAATAGATGTCAGCAGCTATTACTTGTTATTGGTATTGCTAATTTCTTTCTTTTTTGTTTTTTTGTTTTGAGTTGGAGTCTCACTCTGTCACTCAGACTGGAGTGCAGTGGCCACTCCCGGCCACTGCAGCCTCGACTTGCTGGGCTCTGGTGATCCTTCCGCCTCAGCCTTCCAAGTAGCTGGAACTATAGACATGCGCTACCACGCCCGGCTAATTTTTGATTTACTGTAGAGATGAGGTCTTGCCAAGTTGCCCAGGCGGGTCTCGAACCGCAGGCTCAGGCAATCCACTCACCTTAGCCTCCCAAAGCACTGGAATTACAGGCTGAGCCACCAAGCCCGGTCGGTATTGCTAATTTCTAAAGAAAACTTTTGCAGCCATCTGCTTTTCTCTATTGATTTAAAGTTATTTTTAAGACTCAATCATCCAAACAGCTTGCCATAAAGCCCAAAAGGATTTTTTAAAACCAGATTTTCTGACATTATTCTGTTACTTTAATGTTTACTGACTCCTGTAATTTTTAAATTTTATACAAAGTGGTCTACTTAATTAAATGAGGCCATGGGCGATAAATACAGCCGTGCAATGTTGTTTCTCAGCATTTAGAGTAGCACATATTCTAAATACTTGCAGGAAATAGTAATTTCCATCAACAAAAATAAAAGATTCTGTGCAAATAACCTGGTGAAGATATGGAAAATATTCATGGGTGTTTCCCAGGAAAATTCCTGTCCTTTTTTTTAAAGCTCCATCTCAGAAATGATAGATTCAGAAACTATGAATGTATGAGTAGTCACTAGTGGGCTCACTGGAATTCAGGCACAAGTCCTTGACTCTGGGCTCATGTGTCTTATCAGAAACGTCTCAGATTACTAGGGAGTGTCTGCTTTTCTCTTTCTCTCCCTTGCTGTGGAATCCTCTGATCAAGCTGCCATTACCAAGAATAATTATGTCATGCACAAAAGATCCATGCAGTAATTTGCTGTTGTAATGCGTATTACCAGTTCAAAATTTTTGTTTTTGTTTTAGAGTTCAAATCCCATTTCTCGTGACTCTTTACCAAGCAAGTTAAGAAATTAAAAACTATATCTATCACAAATGCATTATCTGTGCTTCTCCCCTCACTAGTTTCTCTTTCTAACAAGAATGAAACATGACTTCACCAGGTTAGGCTTTTGTCTGTTTTTTGCTTAGGTAACTCAATACATAAAGATTTAATGTTTTTAGAGTTCATTTTCATGACTAGATATTAGAATGGGAAGATTCAGGATATTAATTGAGGGTGTGTCATTTTGAAATCGTTAGAAGTGAATTTCTTCTTTATATGGGATATCAGGTTCAAATATTTAGATTCTTTGCTGCCTAATCCTATGTGCTTGCTAATCTAGCTTTTGCAAAATTCCTTGCAAAAATAACTCCATTCCTGTAATTCCTGCTGGTTCTCTTGGATATCTGTCAGTGACAGTGTCTCAATCATTTTCATCTGAAGTTTCTGTTTCTTGTCTCTGCTAAGGTGGTGAGGAGTAGCAAAAGCATAGAACTTGGCTTTAGTTGTACGGGCATTTTTTCATCTCATGGCAGAGTTCCAAGAGTCTCTCTCTGGGAGGACAGATTGGCTGTAGGGGCTAGAAATCAGAAAAATCCAAACTGCTGTGTCTGTGAATGAAATCTACAGTGGTCAGGTCTGCACCTGCCAAGCTATGGCTGATGTCCTCGAGTTGAATTTGATTACAAATGCATTAGCAGGGAAAAGTGTGTCATCAGCTGAGAGCCTTCATTCCTGACCTGGGCCATGGGGCTTTGCTCCACACATCTCCAGTCCAACCCACATGGGTGTGATAGCCCAGAAACTATCTAATTGGAATCAGCGAAAGGGCAAAGCCTGGAATTTGGGAAAGGCAGAACACAGCTGTTCTGAATTACAGAACAGGTTGTCAACTTTTGCAGACACAAAGCCCCGCCATATAGAGCAGGCTTTTGCTCTGGAGGCCAAAAGCACGCAGGCCAGCAGAGGAGTCTAGCCTGGGAGAACTTTTCTCTGGGGCAAAAAGTATATCTAGAGTCTGAAAGTTCTTTGGCATCTCAGTTTCTCCCTGTGTGTTATATTGATGTGACCAGAGACTTATTTTCTTCTGTTGCTTGGACTATGTTTTTATTTAAATGTTCCACTCTGGTTGCCACATTGGACACTACTGATAACAGAGATGCTTATTAATTGCCCTTAATGTAGCAGTTTCCTATAGCTTCACGCTTTCCATCTACTATACCATGCGAAAGACATAAAGCCAGGAAGGCTTCAAGGGAACCACTAGAAAGCTTTAAAAGCTGAGCATATCCACACAAGGTGATGAGAGACTGAGAACTCCATGTAACAGCCAAACTTCCAGTCTCAACTTGGCAAAAGGAAATGGCAAACTCAGAGAGAAAACTCCACGCTTATCCCTGTTACGTCTCCATGGAGTTTGGATGCCATTCCAAGTTTTGACAAATACCGTGATGAGTTCAGTTGCTGTGACAGATGCTCTTTTGATTCTATTATTCTCCAAAGTAACCTCCACTGGAAGAGCCAGCGAGCCATTGAACTCACAGATCGAATCCTATTTTCAGCTTTGTGATGTTTGAAAAAGGACTAGAAACATTTAGAAAACGTATTCTGGCCTGACACTTTGATTCTCTTGGTCCCTCTTTCTGCATAGTCTTTCTTCAGTCTCCTATATTTAATTCTCTATTCCCTTCAGTTTCAGGAGTGACCATTAATAATAATGTCGGTAACAAATCTTTGTTGGGTGCCTACTGTGTGCAAGGTGCTCTACTATCTCTTTTTTCCCACTGTTTGTATTATGAAAAACTATTATTTTAATCACATACATTTTTACCTGTTTCAAAAGTGATAAAGCTAACAAGAAGAGAGTTTAAGGAGCTCCTCTGAAGTACCATAGCTGATAAGAGGTGGAATCAAGATTCAAGTCCGAAGGATTTGACTCTCAATTTTGCTACTCAGAAAGCAATTTGCAAATCAGCAGCCCTGGTATTACCCACGAACTTGCTAGAGACGCAAAATCTTAGGCTCTACCCTCATATCTACTGGATCAGAACCTTCATATTAACAAAATACCAGGCAATCTGCAGGCAAGTAAAGGTTTCAAAAGCCTTGCTATGACCGAGCATGCACATTTACTAACATACATCTCCCTTAAATGTATTTCTGTTCTTTTTAACTTACCCATCATTATTTTTTACATTGTTATTCCTTAGATCACTGAGAACCAAGGTGAATTTCTATTGAAATGACCGTAGATTTCTGAAAAGTAAAAGCAGGTAGAACCAACAGAGAGAGGGACAAGTTGGAAGTATTTGTGGCGATGTGAATAAGTCAGTTCTTCAAAGCTGGGCCAAAAAGCAAACGAGTGTCTCCACATTATCATGGCTCTCTGGGTCCCAAAAGCTACAGCCATGAGGGAAGAGAAAAACTCTGTCCCCAGGCTACCCAGAAGAAATTACAGTTTAGGAGAGTGAGAGGGATTATTTGGAAAACTCTGAGACCCACCTAAAATCAGTCATCCTGGGTTTAGAGACAGATTTTGAATCCATCCTTGCCTCTCAATGCCATAAGGCAAGCCACACTGTAAAATAAAGATTCATCACTTCGCTGGGCTCAGTGGCTCAGCCTGTAATCCCGCGCCTTTGGGAGGCTGAGGTGAGTGGATTGCCTGAGCCTGCGGATTCGAGACCCGCCTCGGCAGCGAGACCTCATCTCTACAATAAATCAAAAAATCAGCCGGGCGTGGTAACGCATGACTGTAATTCTGGCTACTTGGAAGGCTGAGACGTAAGGATCGCCGGAGCCCAGCAGGTCGAGGCTGCGATGGCCGGGATCGGCCACTGCACTCCAGTCTGGGCGACAGAGTGAGATTCCAACTCAAAAAAAAAAAAAAAAAAAAAGATTCATCACTTCTTGTTACATTTGTCATGTTTGTGGAGGGTGTGTTTAAATGTGCTCCCACCCAATTGAACAAGTTTTGCTTGATCAGTAAAATGTCCTTTATGAATAGTTCGCCTAGCTAAAGCTCTTTATATAATTACAAATACATGGAATCCTTACTTTGTGTTTGAGTTTATGAAACACGAAATGATTTTTTTAAATGCTTGGGAAAGAAAGGGTCTTAGAAAACGTAGAAAGCTCATTTTTCTAAGACACTCTAATAAGAATACAAGATTTCAATCGTTTCTAGCCCTCAGGCTAACCCGGCCAGGCTCGGCCAACCCTTTGCTTTTATGTGAGTGTTATGCTTGGTATCCCAATAAGCAGCCAGCACATGAAAATGCTATTGTAAATACCTACAAGCAGAAACTGGTCACTCTTTAAGCAAAGGATATTTTCTCCATTATCATACAATAGCAAAAATTGATTTACATCAAGTTTTGAAAAAATAAAATAAAACACCTCTATTCCTCTTCTGAATTCTGTTCTTTGAGCCACGTTTTATTGTACAATAGAGATTTAAAATGCAGAGAACAGAAATGCAGCAATGAGCTTGACTGAAGACTGAAGGACACCATTGTATTTTACTGCAGAATTCACTATTTATACTCTAAATAAAAGAGAAGACACTTGAACTTGGCTGTGCAAGATGGAGGTAGGGCGTGGAGAGACTGATGCAGTTACCTCTGTCAGGATGCTGAGTACTGACGTGACAAAGCACAGTCCCCACTGATTTTTGAAAAGACATAGGCAAGCTCTGGCAGGCTGAAATGGGTCATGTAAGAAGTTTACAAAGTCACCATATCCTATTCCGATTTCTGTTAGATGTTTAGCAGGGAAGCAAATGAAATAAACATCTGGTAGATTTCAGGAGGCCAGTTTATCTGACTGAATTCTGATCCTGACCTTTGTGGAGACAACTTGTCTCACAAGAGATCATTTATAAAAAAAAAAAAAAAAAAGTCCTGCACCAGGGCATCAATCCCATCAGCCCTTCCTTTCTTCTCTGACTCCCACTCATTCTTTGAATACCTCCCCAAAGGTTAGCCTTCTACCATCTGAGGCTTACCTATTGTGCATAGGTGTGGATTCACACATAATCACATAGCTGAATATGCAATATGTTTGGAGGCAACACAAAAAGCATGTTTTACACCACATTTTTTCTCCTATCCTTCTTTATACTGACTTTATATTACTTTAACAACCACTAAAAACAAAGCATAACTGTAGTACCTATTCCACTTCAGCATGTAAATCCAGATAGATTTTTCAAATACACACACACATACACACACACACACACACACACACACCCACACACATTCAACTCAGTCCCCTCGTCTTCATACCCTATGGAAATGGGAAGAAAGTACAGGACAAAGAGCAAGGCTACCTTTGGCATGGGGAATTGGCATGCTCCGGAGCAGTAATAGGCATCAAAAGACTTGGGAGAGATAATCCACTCACTCCAACCAATGTCTGCAAAGTCAACTTTGAGGTATCTCCTGGCACAATTCCGAGGTTCAATCCACTGCTTTCTCCTTGCCTTCTTCAGGGTCTGTTCATCAAACTGGAGTGTCTGACTCTTCTCGTGAGGTCCCTTTCTTTGTTTTTTTTTGTTCTTGCTCTTCTCAGGGGGCTGAGTCTGAAGGGTCTGGTAAGGCTTTCTTTCCTCCCACACCCCATCCTTCTTATACTGATACTCTGCCCCAGGAAGCTCGTTGTTCTGAAGAGGCAGCAAGACTCCGGTAGAGCGCTTCTTTCTCCGTTCAGTAGAAAGGGCAACTCTTATGTGGCTACCCAGTTTGGGAAAATTCCGGTGTCCCTGTAAGCTTGATACCACACTTTCTGGCTCAGCAATGGCAGCATCGTTGGCATACACCAATATATAAGGCTCTGGAAAAGATAACATCCTCTTTGACAGCTGGTGTCCTTTGTAAGTAATGTTAAATCCTATGAGGAACTCCCCATTTTCCTTGGCCTTCCTCAAGAGTTGAGTGATGTCTTTAGAGAGCCAGGACATAATCTCTTGATGGGGTTTGGTTACATCCACTGCCAGATGACCCAGGAGTTGGCTTTGGTTTCTGCTGGATTTGAGAATCCACGCAGAGAGATCTATCTGGATGTGTTTCCTCTGAGTATGGTGTGAGCATTCCTGAGACATTGGGCAGCTTAGACTGATGTTGACTAGCTCTCCACCACAGAAATAAAGTGTGGCGGACAAAATGTTTTCGGACTTGGTCAGAGAAGTCAGATTAAAAATATGCAGTCCCTTGCTTTCAAGGGTTCCTAGGAAGAAAAGGAAAGGAGAGTAAACAGGAGTACACAGGACCTTTAATCTACTATACAACAATTAGCTCACAATGTCAGAAACTCAAATAGAAGAGCTGAAAACATATGATTCTTGGAAGAAAGTATTGGGGCAAATTTTCACAACCTTGAAATTGGCAATGGTTTCTTAGATAGGATGCCAAAAGCATAAGCAACAAAAGAAAAAATAGATATATTAATAAAATATATAAATTTATAAACTAGGCTTCATTGAAATTAAAAGCTTTTGTGCATCAGAGGATATTATCAAGAAAGTGAAAAGACATCCTACAATATGAGAGCAAATATTTGCAAATCATATATCTGATCAATCTAGTATTCAAAATATATAAATGACAGTTGCAATTCAACAATAAGTAGATAAAATAAAACAATTAAAATGGGCAAAAGGCTTGATATAAATTTCTCCAACGAAGGTATATTAATGGGCAACAAGCACATGGAAAAACACTCAACATTGTTAGTCATTATGGAAACAAATCAAAACCACAATGAGGCACTACTTGACATACACTAGGATGGCCATAACAGACAAACAAAAACCCCAGAAAGTTACCGAGCACGTGAAGAAATTGGAACGCTCAAATTGCTAGTAGGAATGTAAAATGGTTCAGCTGCTGTGGAAAGCAGTTTGGCAATTCCTTAAAAAGTGAAGTATAGAATTACTATATGATCCAGCAATTCCACTTCCAGGTATATGCCCCAAGGCATTGAAACAGGATCGCAAACAAGTACATGTTTATAGCAGCACTATTCATCATAGTCAAAAGTTGTAAACAGCTCAAATGGCCACTAATGAATGAATGGATTAAAAACCTGTTATATCCATATAATGGAATATTATTCTACTGTGAAAAGGCATGAAATACTGATATATACTACAATTTGGTTGAAAACATTATGCTAAGTGAAAGCCAGATATGAAAAGTCATATGTTGTTTGGTTTCATTTATTAAAAATATCCAAAAGAGTTAAATCCATAGAGGCAGATGCAGAGGACAGAGACAGGAATGGATAAAGAGACATTCCTTAAAGGTTATAGAGCTTTATTTCGGAATGGTGGAAATATTTTGGAACTAGATAGACTTGGTGATAGCTAAACATTGTGAATGTATTAATTGCCATTGTAGTGTTAGCTTAAAATAACTAATTTTACATTATGTAAATTTCACCTCAATTTAAAAAAAGAAAACAAAACAGATGTGCAGTCGCTTGCTTCTGAGGGCTCCTGGGAAGAAAAAAACAAGAGTAGATAGAAATAACTTTAAATGACAGAAAAAGATTAGCAATAATCAGCCATATTTACTAATTTGCTCTCCTCTTTACTGAAGCACTACAACTTTGTGAAATTTGTAACACAGTAGAGAACTTGATGGGGTGAGGGTTGAGAGTTGTAGAGACTACCGAAACGTATTCTGATACATTTGACAAAGCATTTTTGTTTGTTTGTTTGAAATCTGTTTAGCCTACCCTTACAAACACAGGGTTTGAAATTAGACTCACCTTGACTCAAGTACTGACTCAGTCACTTATGAACTTCATAACACTGGGCAAGCTAATGTTCTCATTCATTAAAATGAGATAGTATCGCCGGGCTCGGTGGCTCAGCCCGCGCCTTTGGGAGGCTGAGGTGAGTGGATTGCCTGAGCCCGCGGGTTCAAGACCCGACTGGGCAGTGAGACCTCATCTCTACAGTAAATAAAAAAATCAGCCAGGCATGGTAGCGCATGCCTGTAGTTCCGGCTACTTGGAAGGCTGAGGCAGAAGGATCGCCGGAGCCCAGCAGGTCGAGGCTGTGGAGGCCGGGAGCGGCCACTGCACTCTAGTCTGGGCGACAGAGTGAGGCTCCAACTTAAAAAAAAAAAAAAAAAAAATGAGATAGTATCTACTTTCTATGTCATGAGAATAAAATGAGATATGTGTAAAGCAGTTGATAAAGGTTCTACTAAGTGTTTCTTAAACATAAATTATTATTGTTATTCATTCTGGTATTAACAGGATTATAGGGATTATAACTTCTTCTATCTGCTTCACAAAATGCAGGGTGTGTGATAAGGTGGGACCCAATATAACTCAGTACTCAGATACTATAGCTGAAAAAGCAAGTCATGCTTCAAACATATCAAAAAAATAATGCTGTGGAGCTTGTTTGAAATTTATGACATATTTATGACATTCCATTTAGGAGTTAAATTTCTCTATAGCTCAACAAAAATGGTGCAATTATTTACTTGTATTTCCAACTCTTCAAATCTGGAAATGAGAGGGAATCAGAGAACCACAGATTGATTAGTAAGGGCAGAAGCAGGTTCCTTCCTGTGGGGTCATCTCTGGAGTTATTGGTGAGGTTGGGCTCAGAACTCAAGTCTCTGATCCTCGGATTGGTCACCAGAGCCTAAGTTCTTCTCCATGCACTTGTTCCGTATACATATTTGTTTCAGAAACACACATGCAATCGTGAAATTATGTTCTTGATCAAAAACATGTTTCAGTAGAAACGAAACATTTTTATAAAGATGTGGAAACTTGAAATGAGTTCACTGAGTCCCCAAGCACAGGGGAAGTACAGCAGGAAACATGTTTAATTCATTTTTAACGTTGTGTGAAGGAAAAGGAGGAAACTGCCATTCGTGCACATTTGTGTAATCCATGACACCAGGAGAATATTTTACAGACCCTTACAACAAAGCCCTGGCATCAGCTTTGTTCAGATGCTGGCCTTAATTCATACCAGTCACCATGGCATATACTTTTACCAAACTTTGTGTAGCAGATGGAATTTTCAAGAGGAAGGAAGAGGAGCCATTCTGCTCTAAGTATGTGGGGATTCAGCGGCTGCTGAGCAAACATCCCAGCAGGGAATAAATGAACTCTGAGGGAGGGGGTGGTGGTGTCCCTGTGGTAAACCCACCCTGCCCCTGGTCTTCACATTTGGCTACAAAATGCTTCCTGCTTTCAAACATGCTTCTGGTCACCTTGTGACCTGCTGTGTTCATCAGCCTCTACCCTGGTGTCTAAACTTCAACATCGTCTTCTAAAATCTCAGGCTCTGCCATTCCTCCTCTTCAGGTGGCTCTCATTTCAATTCAACTGCATTACTTTGAAATCAAAGCCCTGAGGCTCAGGCCCAGCTCCACCACAACTAATCGTAGTCTTCACGCAAATTTGCCTAAATTCTTTACGTCCCAGTTTGCTCATCTGTAAAATGGGTTCAGAAGTACCAAGGGCAGAGTTGTTGTGAGGATTAATTGAAAGAATGCAGATAAAACACACAGCACATAGAAAACATTTAACCGATGTCAACTAACTAGAGTGGTACTGTCCATTATAATAGTTAGGAGCCACTTACATTTGAGATGTGCTGTAAGTATAAAATACACGCTGAATTTTGAAGATCTAACACAAAAGTAAATATAAAATATCACATTAATGTATTTTATATTGAGTATGTGTTGGAATGACAATATTTAAATATATTGGGTTAAATATAATTTAAAAATTAATTACACTTGTCCTTCATATTTTTAAATGTGGCTACTAAAATTTTTAAATTATACATGTGGTAAACATTTGTGGCTTACTTAAAATCTCTATTGAATAGTAGTGGTCTAGAATAACCACGAGTTTTATAGTCAGAAAGGAAATAAAAAGGTATTTTTTCCCAAATGCAGTAAAAAATTAGAATTTGGCTAAACATGAATATGAAACCAAACAGTAAGTTGGACAGATTTCCTTCTTGAAAGGCAATGTGCTTTCTTTGTGAAGGACGTATAAGATAAAGATAATTTTGGTGATTACTTTTTAATATTTCCTCCAACTGTAGTCATTTCAATCTGCAATCACAAGTCTAAGACCAACAAACTGATCCATGTAGGATGAAATGGGCAGTTTACCAACAGTGTCTTGTGGCGTGGAGATTATCTACATAGCTTCAATCATGAATGTATGTATTACACACATAAATTACTACAGCCAACCAAAAACAGAGCCTGAAGCGACTGAGTGTACTTCTTTAAAAATGTGAATCGGGGCGGGGGGGGGAAACACAACATCAGGAAGGGTACCTGATCTCAAACCAGACAAAGTGGGGACCAAAGGGAGGCCCAAACTTTACCTGTACGATGACCACTTGTATACCTAATCCTGAATTGTACCCCACATCTTTAAAAGGAAAGAAAATAAAAATAAAAGAATTTCTGACACATGGTGATAATAAAAATCCAACTCTTAAAAAAAATGTATTGAATATTTTGCTAATGAGAAATGTATTTCAAAATATGTAAATATGATATAAAAACTCAAAATGCAAAACTTTTAATTACACTCATACTGAAGTAACATTTTGCCAACATTGTTACGAAATCATAAATATTTGGTAGCAAAACAAAAAAAAAACAACACAAAAAAAATGTGAATTGAATGCCTACTAGGTGCTGCACCCTGTACTGCATCACAGAGCTGTACAAATCGATGCTCCATCCCACACTGGTGGCAGAAATGATTCCCGAGCATTGTGCAGGTGGTTCAGCCATGATGAGAGTACTAGCAGTTGAGGATGCTAACTACACTTGGAGCAGAAAGGGGAGCTGCTAACTTTGCCCAGGTAGAGGGCAGAGGGATCACAGGGAACAGGTGACCTTTGAACCAGACTTTTAAAGGTGAAGGGAGAAGGGAATGCTGGGAAGGGGATGGAAGGAACATGTTCTAACAGTATGCAGTGCCATGTGTGAGAAGGACACCCAAAAACCCGGAATTTATTTATGACAAATTGTGTGTTTATTCTTACAAACTTAAACTTTAGTCACCCTCAAAGTACTCTCTGTTTGATGCAATACACCTATGCTTTTTCTACTGCTCAAAATAGTTTTTGAACTCATCCATTTTGATGCTTTTTAGTGTTTCTATCATTTTTTGTTTCACCTCTTCTACATTGGCAAAACATTTCCCTTTGAGGACTATTTTCATTTGGGGAAACAAACAAACAAAGTCACTTAGGGTGAGACTTGGTGAATAGGGAGGGTGGGCCATGGGTATCATGCCATTTTTGGTAAAAATGCTGAACACTCAGCACAGTGTGGGCAGATATGCTCTTAAATCATCCATTATGAAATGGGCAAATGCATTAAAAGAATTTTCCCCCCAGATTTACTGAAGCCAAATGTAGCCTCTCACAACAATGCTAGTTGTACACTGATGCCAGTGGGTTCCTAGAACACTTACCTAGGGAGGGAAGCCTGTCCTACAAGAGGCCTGCCCTCTAAAAGAGAATTCCCTTCTTTTTGGGTCCCCTACCTCATATCTAGAAGCTTTTGCAAAATCAATGTCACTTATGTTTTAAATAGAAATTATAAAAAAATACTTCCCAATAACCTAGTTGTTCAGAGTTCTAGCAAACATCTAAGCCATCCAAATTCAGAAAAGGAATAGCCAATTCTTCGCTCCTAATCAAAGGTGTTACGTGATGCTCAGCACTTGATGTCTTTGCTCTTTTTATTTTCACCCAGGCTGGGAATCTCTGCCCGTTCTGAATTCCCTTCCTCCTTTTTTTTTTTTTTAAACAATAAAGCTGGAATTGTCAACCTTTCACAAAGCTTTCCTTGACTTCCCTAATCCACATTTATTTTTGTCTTCTCTAATTTTAAAGCATTTAATTTCTGTTTAAGTTAATGCTCTTCTACCCAAATAAATCCAACAGATATATATTGAACATTTACGATGAACAAAAATAATGAGAGAGCAGCATGGAGTCCAGTAAATGAGTACAAAGAAATAAATAAGAATGAGATAAATTCCTGCCTGCAAGCACGTGACATTCATACCTATTCAATTTCTATCATGCTTTTTATTTTAGATTTCACATTAACTAATGAAAAAGTGTCTTCCTACACTTAAGAACAGAAGACTTGCTTTGGACTTCTCTCTTCTTCATGAGCTCTAGCACAGATTCATATATGCACACAGATCCCTATATTTACATATCAGTGAATAAAAAATGCCTTAGTAATCTATTTTTCTATTCTTTGGAAATATTCAGATGCTGTCTATTTGGAATTATTGAATCTGAAACCTGAAGTGTACTGTCTTATTAATAGGAAAAAACTGATGTAATGATGATACAAAAAATAAAGATGGGCTTTGTCAGGTTACAAAAAAAGTATGCATTTTTAGGCTAGGGATAGTATTCAGGTACTGGGAAATATTAACTGTATGCCACACTGATCTAAATCTATCTAGATGTGCAGGCCTAATTCTGGGTGATCTCTTTTCACCTAGTTAATTGATACAGAAGAAAGCAACTAGGAGAGTAACCAAGATGTTGAGGGACTTGGAAACTATTTCGTAGATTTGGATTGCATAAATAGGACTACATGGTCTGAAAGAAGAAAAACGGTTTAGCAATTACATGAGAATTATTTTCAAATGCTTGATGGACTGCAGAGAAATCAGAGCTTTTCTTTCTCGTGTTAATGATGACAAGGAAGTTTAAAGGTGATGGAGTGTGAATCCAGACTGATACAAGTCGTGACTTTCAAACTGTTTGACTTCATTTGGTCTATCTGTGGGGCTAGAAAAACTGGTCTTAAGGATTCTTTTATGGCAGATAGTGTGTGAAAGGGAAACTAGAGAACCGCTCATCCCTTCCAAGTAACTACTACCAGCTTTGTTTTCCAGCTCTTCCCAATGTTTTTGATGTCAAAATATAACTACCAATAGGTGGTGCTACTTTCTTATGTTTACTGGCACTAGCACATGCGAGTATGTCTCCTGCAGTCTAGTTAGGGCTTGCTATTGGCATTATCATCTCATATGTTGAGTTTTCTAGGGTTATAGCACCTGAGAATTGAAAAGGGTTTAGAAATCAGGTAAGATTCTGAACAAGCCATACTCTCCTCCACACACGTGTGGGGAATTTGCACCTGCTGCTGATTCTCTCAGGAATGCTTTTCCCTACCCCTTTTCTTCTTGAGAATTCAGGTTTGTTTTTCAAGGCAAGGAAGAGGCCCCATCCTGGAGGCAAGTTGTCATGACAACCCACTTTCTTAGTTAGGACCCTGCCTCTGTTACCATTTTCATTACACTGTTGCTCCTTCCTAAGACCATAAACTCACTCCTTAAAGACAAGGCTCTGTATTATATCAGACTCTTCAGCCCCTAGCATAGAGCTTCACCCTGCAGCAGTACTCAGTAAAGGTTTCTTTTATGAGCAAATTTAGTTCAACAAACACATTAGAGAAATGCAAACATGAAGGACAACAGACGTTAGTCAGATAGCAACTGACTTTGGAGAGAAACCTAGGTCTGCTGCCTAGATCATTCTTTTAGGATTCTGATTATTAAATAAAGGTAAACATTTCTTTCTGTTTCTACCAAAAAAAAAAAAAAAAAAAAGAACTTGCACCTGATGAAACCAAAGATACAACTCGGGAAGTTAGGCTCTGACCTGGGTACCTAGGGTCAGCATGCTATGAGACCAAGGACACAGATTGGGAAGTCGGACTCTGACCTGGGGACCTAGGACCAGCCATGCTATGAGACCAAGGACACAGAGTGAGAAGTCAGACTCTGACCTGGGGACCTTAGGGCCAGCCATGCTATGAGACCAAGGACACAGAGTGGGAAGTCGGGCTCTGACCTGGGCATCTAGGGCCAGCCATGCTATGAGACCAAGGATGCAACTGGGGAGGTTGGGCTCTGATCCAGTGACCTAGGTCAGCCATACTATTACAATGTCAGCTCTCCTCTTGGAGTAGCCAAGGTGCTGTCCAGAGAGGGGGAAGGGGAAACTTACCTTTGTGCTGGCTCACACAGATTGTTTTCAAAGATGGAAAGTTTTCCACATGAAGCCTGATTTTAAAACAAATAGATGAAATGAAATCTTGATGATTAGTTAAATCCCCAAGAAGCAGGGAAAACATCATGGTCATACAAAAACTATGTAAGGAAGAACAATTTCCCCCACTTCTCCACTTCTTTCTTCAAAGGAAGCACAGCTAATAGAAATGCCTGGGGTGCCTAGGACAGGGCCACATACACCCCTGGTCACTGGCTGAATATTTGCCGCTGACTCCCTAGTCAAGACTGTACTTCTCTGTGCTGCCTTCAACCTTCCTGCACAGGCAAGACAGGGAATTTCTGAATAAAATGTAAAGTCACAGAATTTTGTTTTGCTTACAGAGTCCCAGTTGAATGACTAAATTTTATGGGATCTCAAAACAACCATTCTCCATGTCCAAAGTAAAAACATGGCTAAAGATGATATAATGTATGCTTTTCTGGAATAGCAAAATGTTCATTATTCAGTTTATCTTCTCAGTCTCTAGCCAAGCACATACCCAGACTGTGAACTCTCTGAGGACAGACCCGTATCCTATAAATCTCTGAATTCCTAGTACTTCACACAAACTGGACACTTACATCCTGGAAAATATTCACTACTTTTGTTGAATGAACAACTGTGTAAAGCTACCAGATTTAAAAGTGTTTTCTACTTATCACCAAGAAGGGCTTTTGCTGACTTGGGGAACCTGAATTTACTTGAAGGTTTTTAGACTTTGGTGTTAAATAGAAAACACATTTAAATCTGGTAAGTTCCTTCTAGTTCATTAGAAAAGAGGAATTATTGGAAGAGTTGCATATGAAGTAGAATAATATTGCCACAATATATAAATGGTAAAATGTGTCATGGGAAATTCTTTCAAGCCCAGTTTATTTTTAAGGAATACTTTGCCTGGCCTACAGCTTCTCAAAGGTCCCTTCTAGTCTCTTGAACATCTAATTCAACTCCATTGAGGTATTTACTGAGTGTGAGTGATGTGGCTACCTGTGAGAGGTCTTCAGAGTAAGAGGACCAAAGAGGTGAACTCCTTGCCCTCCAGGGACTTGCTCTGCAGGCTCCTTCTCAAGTTATTTTTTTCTTTTTCCTAGCAAATCGGTTAGGTTGGAAACTTCCTACAGCTGTGAGAGAAGGGTAAGTGGTCTTGATTAACTTACTGTGAAGCCTTCTCCCGGGCAAAAGCTATCATAGAGGCAGTAAAAGCAGCTTGTCATCACTTAAGTTAATAAACCATTGGTCCACGGACAGGCCACTAGCAGGGCCAGATAAGACCAGGAACAGCACATTAATCAATCCTAGATTTCAAAATACCATTATGATATAAAATGCTCAGAACTCTAGGGACACAGATTTAGAGCAGCATTTCTCAAATATGGATCAGAATCTCCTGGATGACTTGTTAAAACACAAATTTCTGAGCTTGACACCCAGAGTTTGATTCAGAAATTCTGATGTGGGCTAAATAATTTTTTTCTTCTTTGTTTTTCTTTTTCATTTTTCTTTTTTTTGAGTTGGAGTCTCACTCAGTCGCCCAGACTGGAGTGCAGTGACCGTTCCTGGCCACCACAGCCTCGACCTGCTGGGCTCCGGCGATCCTTCAACCTCAGCCTTCCAAGTAGCTGGAACTACAGGCGCGCGCTACCATGCCTGGCTAATTTTTGATTTATTGTAGAGATGAGGTCTCGCCAAGTTGCCCAGGCGGGTCTCAAACCCACGGGCTCAGGCAATCCACTCACCTCAGCCTCCCAAAGTGCTGGGATTACAGGCTGAGCCACCAAGCCCAGCTTCTTTTTCTTTTTTGTGTTGTGATCTCACTCTGTCACCTAGGCTGGAGTGCAGTGGGATGATCATGGCTTCCATAGCCTTCATCTGCTGGGCTCAGGCGATCCTTCCACCGCAATCTTCCTACTATCTGGGACTATAGGCACATGCCACCACGTCTGGCTAATTTTTTGATTTATTGTAGAGATGAGGTATCACTATGTTTTCCAGACTGGTCTCGAACTTCTGGACTCAGGCAATCCTCTTGCCTCCACCTCCCAAAGTGCTAGGATTACAGGCATGAGCCACCATGCCTGGCTGAGAATTTCTAACAAGGTTTTAGGTAATATTTACGCTGCAAGTCCAGGGACCAGAGAACAACTAACTTCAAGAAACCTCTATAAAAAGGTACAATCCTGCTCCACTCTGCCACCAGCATCAGGACAGAAACAGAAACTTGTTGGATGTAGGTTTAGACTATCATAGAGATTGTATAACCACATGACTACCACCTCTTTATTTTTGCATTGTCACCCAAGTAATCTTTGTGCTACAAATAAGTACAGATTATCAGCATTTGAGATATATTTAAGGCTTTGTGGAAAGTTAAAGGAAGACAATCTCAAAATATTAAGAATATTGAGAATAACTAATATATACGGGTCTTTTAAGCTTTTAAAGCATCTTCACACAAGTTTCACCATCTTTCTGTGAGACAGACACAGTAGGTATGATTTAGCCTATTTGACAGATGAAGAAACCATGAATAACAATATTGGATGACTTTACTTATTAGCACTTCAACCAAGGTTAGAATTTAGATCTCCTAACTCTTAGCCTTAGGTAATAGAAAAATAAAAACTCTAGCAATCTTTTTTTTTTTTTAATTTGGAAACCATTTCTCTTAACTCACATCTAAGTTCAGTGATTATACTAAACTCAACTTTTAGATCAATTCCATGCAATTAAATGAAAACATTGTTTGAAGAAAAAGCAAAGAAGAAAATGTTGGACAGTAGCTTTAACTGTAAAATGAAAAGTCTGATCAAAGAAACTTGCATTTCTAAAAGTACTGGCTGTAATTATTTTATAAATGAATATTTAACTGTACCTTACTTAGTAAAGCAAGAAGAACTAACTGAGGCGAGTGATATAGAGGATAATTTTACCCAAACACGTTAATCTGTAGTATGCTCAAAAGCCATCAAGGCACTGCATTGACCATGGTTCTACTGCCATAAGAAATGAATTTTAAAGAAAGGTAGATCACCAAAGGTGCCAATAAACACACCATGGTCATTTGACACTATGATCTATGGCTAATGTTTCAGACAAATAAAGAGAAATACATGACTTTACAAATATCATCCTTCAAAATGTGTGTTACTAGGACTACTTCATATGCTAAGACACAATCACTACTACCATGTGAATAAACTGTCAGTTTTATTGGTTGCTAAATATATTCTGCAGATGAAGGCTCTTTGGTTACACTGTCATCATTTACTACTGTCCAAAGTAGATGTTTTCCTGGTATACTTGAGTCACTTGACGAATACCATGTCAATATTTCCATTAAAATTCTATTTTCATGGATTCTTAACATAAATCATAAAAGTTCCCTCAGTTGAAACTTGGCATAGAAAAGCTCAAGTTAAGATGATTTGTGATGCCAAACTTCTTTTCACTACTACCACCAAAATAAAGTTAGTAAGACATGAACTGATTACTAGGATGCACAAACTTAACAGATGGGAGAGGCATCACAATTTGGGAGAAAAGCTCTGATATTGTAGCACAAAAATCCTGACTAAACAATAGAAAAGAGATGCCAAGTTGCTCCATAGTTATCATGAGCCTTTTTGATAGAAATTATATTTATTATGCCTATTAAATGCTGGGATTGTATAAGGGATTTGATACATGTCTTCAGTACATGCGACTTTTATTAAAGTGTTCATGGTGATTAAAATATTAAAAAGTGGTGTGTGTGATTGTTAGTGAATTTTCCCACAAAGTATGCCTTATTATTTCCCTCAAATAAAGTAAGCATACCTGTTGTGAAATAATATTAATCATATAGAAGAAAATACTGAAGAACTTATGAAGATACAGAAGAAATGAAGTTTAATGACAGAAAATCTCTAAAATTACAATCAGAGAGGTTTATAACATAAAAGCAGGAAAGTGGTGCCATGCCAATTGGACCCTGGTCCAGAAAGTAGCAGTGTAAGTAAACATACTGAGATAGGTACTGACTGGAAATAAGACAGTGCTCAGTTGGAGGAGAGTGTGCTCCTAGCTAGACATCTTAGAACCACAGTTCCCTAAAATGCTTTCTCCAGGAGAAAGTATTCCCTTCTTAAAGGAATCATTAGCATTTAAAGGCTCTAAAGGTCCCACAGCAAAGAAAACTGATCACTTTTTCCAAGCCTAGTTGATCATGGAACTCATTTTTATGTAAAAACTGTTAACATCTTACAAAACCTCTTTTTGCGAAATTTTTAACTTAGAAAATCAGATCAGGCTATTAAAAATAATAGGTTTTGAAATGAGCTCAGTAGGGATGATAAACTGTTTGGCAAATGCATCACGATGCTTATTAGTGTTTCCATTCAAAGAAGGAGTTGGACTTGTTTTCTCGAATGCTTCTTTCAAATACAAAATTATAGAAAGAAGATTTGACATTCGTGTCCCTAATTAATTTTTAGGAAAACCTATACTTGTTCTATCAAATATTTATGAACTTCTGCTTAGGTAAAATGTACGCAACCCTTCCAATTCATTCTTAATTAAGTGTATATTTTTAGTGAACAAATATTCCTTGCATGAATTATCTACTTAGGAGATTTTTTTTCATTGACCTCCATAATCTCTTGGTCTCTCTGGGTGTTTCTATGTTACAAAGTTAAATTTACATTTTCTAATGCAATTCATTCTTTCTTTTTTCCATTAGCATGGATAATCAAGAATTCATGGTATTACGGATTTTTAAATGCCAGAGATTGTAAGGCTGTCTTGCCTATTACAGTAAAAACTTCATTAAAGGCCATCATGTATTTAAAGTCGTGTGTAACTCAAAGCAGCTGCACAACCAGCTCCCTCTCCAGATGCACTGTTGTCCTTTAAATGAAAACATCTGATAATTCAAGCACTCTTTAATTTTAAGCCTAGTTTTTAAGTGTCAGGCATTTCAAGGTAACTACATTTTAATAAAGTTATTATAGCCCTTGTCATCAAACACATCCAAAACGATGTTCTTCTACTGGCCCATGTATTTTATATAAAGTTCCCGTTAGGGTGATTATTTGGCCCTTAACTATAAACTCCCTTTCCCAAAGCCTTACATTTTAGCCTTGTCTCAGAAATGCCTCAAAATCATAATTCGTTATTTAATTTTTTTGGTCACAGTAGGAATGAATCTCCCTGTCCTCACTGAAGGAAAATATTCACTGGTGGGTCTGAATTACCTCATTTTTTAAAAGGCTATAAAATATGTGATTATTTTCAAAGGTAATACATACCCACTGGAATATAATCTTTTTGTAGTTGTATGTCATGAATAGTGACAGTTTTCTAATAAGAATATATGTGCTTTAATCATTTTTCCTGAAGAGCTTACAGTTATGATTAAGAAAAAATAGGATTAAGTGGCTATGGGGTTAATGAGAAAGTAATAGAACACAAATCATCTATCTTAAAAGATGAAGACAGGAGAAAACCTTGTGTGAAATATTTTTTATCACATAGTAGCCAAAGACAACTTAAACCAAGAGTCAAATGAAAGCTAATTTCACATCCTTCTGTCTTCCTTCAAGATGCTGTGTTTTTATAAGGCTGAACTTCTCTGTCATCAATATTTTATAAATTATCTTTTACAAAGGGAAAGATACAATCTATCTTTTATGTAAACACTTCCACATCATACACACACAAAACTTATAAGCGCTCCAAGCTTACGGTTTTGGCACACCAGATGCACAGCGTTGAGGGAGGAGAAAAGGGGTTAGCAGAAAGTGTATTTAGGATGGGTGCCACCCACCATCAAGTAATGGTTTAAGTAGAAAGTAATCAGAGGGAGACCACAGCAGCTAAATTTCAACCAAAGATATTCTGGGTTTAGAACAATAAATAATTTGAATCAGGTATGTTCCAAAGAGCAACCAGGGCTCTGAGGCTCTACTTAGCCTGAAGAAGCTTCCGGAGTCTGCAGACCAGCAGCCTCTCCATCTCTGTGACACACCACCTGACCTTCCATTAAAGTTTGTAGCGTCTTCGGTCCAAAGAAGCCCATATGTCGTGAAAGTTAAACATTCTGGATTGGAAAACGTATCTAGTTTATTAATGCAGACAGCATCTTTCATCTGCATAGGAACATATGTCATGAGATGAAGAGTGTTCCAGAAATCCTGATATGGATGAGGCAAGAGAGACCCACGTGAAACCCTTCCCGCCTTCCTGGAGTCCTGCCTTATTAGAGCCAGAATCGCCTTATAATGAAGTCTTTTTGGTGTGTTAGTAACTAAACACTCTTGGAAGGGCTCCAGCATGGGCCACCTCTCAGGGAGTCTCCAATGAGGTAACCTGACACTTAAGCTTCCACAAAAACCAGAGTCTACATTTGATGAATAAGTCATTAAGACAGCGCTGGGGATGCTGAAGGGATTACTTTTCTTATCAGGGCATGAAGTCTTGTATGCATGCATCAGGCTGCAGTTCATCATTTCAAGAGAACGTCTGGCCTCCCACCAGAGTTTATCATTTGATGCTGTAAGACTACAAGGAGGCTGATAAGGGACACTCTGGAATTATAATGCACGAATGAGTTGGAGCCAAAAGGTACATGGTGCCTGAGTTGTTCAAATCTTTATCCATTGCTCACTCAGCCAAAAACAAACAAGAGTTATACAGCATGTGCATGAAACAAGCTCAAATTCCACCCCCAAATCAAGTGGTTCCTACCATAAGGGAAACTTGCTGATAAAAAAAAATGCTGTCCGTCTCTTGGGTGCCTCAGCTATTCCCTAGGATTATAACCAAGAAAATGAATATCGAGGTGACAGTGATCAGAGTGTCTTCAATGCTGTCACCTGTCCTGCTCACCCAACTTGCATCCTGTCCCTGTATCCCTGCTACTCCCACAGTGGGCCTTCATGGAATTCTGTCCTCCAAGCTGCTTTAAGGTAAACAGAGTGGCCACTGGTGGGGCCAGCTGTCAGGACAGTCTCTTAGGCCCCGGGATGGTGAGGATAACTCAGGGCAGGTTTCTGTTTCCTTGGTGGAGGCCAGCTCCTTACAGATTATGCTCATGGTTTTAAGAAGAAAGTGAAATCTGGCTCAGTTCATACTCTAGATGAAGTCTTCTGTATTTGAAAGCATAATTCACATATATTGTAAATGCCATCATGCCTATGAGCTCTAGAGTGTATTTTCAGTGCCAACCCAGGGCATTTCATGATGGACACTTTAGCTCTCTCTCACTTTTTTTCCCCCGGGAGTCCTGCACATCAAAATTTTGGGAGCTAGCTTTCTAGCGATTCTGACAGAATGGAGGCACGACCTCCTTAATGGAAGACCCTTGGCTGTTTTTCAACAGTTCACTGAAGACAGGCTTTACAGTAGCACTTTCCTTTATCATGAATGTGGTAAAGGAAAAAGTGCGGTGTACCCTCAAAGCATCTACGCGGAGTGAGAGTCCAAGAAACTTTCCCTCAAGCTGTTAGCACCAGAAAGGGAGCTGTAAGCATACGTATTCGCTTCCCCACGGGGGCTTGGGAAACTCAGTTAAGCAGTGGATCTCAGTCCGCAGGAATCTGTGCTGAAGAAGGGGTGGGCTGATTCCCAGAGGTGTTCCCCTCCAGGCTGCTCCCTCCGCTTCCTCTGCTCCTCTCAGGATGGATAGCTCAGTCTCGATTTACCCAGATGGGTTTTAAACAATCGCGACATCTCAGCACCTGGCTGTGTTTGCCACCCAGGAACCATCGAGTAGAAAACGTAGGATGTAGCACAGACACACACAGGGAGCGCGTTACAAGGGGTGCGGGATGTCAGGACCACCTAAAAGGCGTGGGAGGCGGCTAGGGCGAGTCTGAAGTCTCTCGGGCCAGAATGGCATAAAATGGCATCTACCTCTTGGCACACACGACTGAAGCTCAGTCCGAGAGGATTTCCACGGACCGATTTAGAAATCAACAGAACGAGGTACCCGGAGGCCTCCAGACACCCTGGGCAGGAGGGCTCCGCGGGGCGCAGGGTGTCGCCCCTCTCCCATTCCCAGTCATTCCTCCAGCCACCCCCTGCCTCTGCTCCCGCCTTCTTCTCTCCGTTTCTCCCTCTCACTTCAGATTTGAAAGTGGGACTTTCCCAGACACCGCTGGAAATGCGGGTGTGGCCGGACTGAGGGCCCCGAGGGAGCCGCTGGGGCGGAGAAAGGTCCCGGGCGGCCCCGCCCGGCGGGGGGTGGCCGAAGAAGTGTCGGGGGTCCTGTAGGGACCCGGGGGCGCGGGGAGGGGGTCCCACCGCGCGCTCACCTGAGGCTCCGGCT